TAAATAGTCAGTGAATATAGTATATATACACACATATATATGTATGTATATATATATATATATATATATTTATAGTATAATGTCTGGTATTTCTTGGTAGTATATTTCAATGTTAAAATGTCTTTAATAATTTTCAAAGGTTTTCAAAAGTAATTCTATGTTGTTTAATGCTTTGAATATGAATGCATTTTTTTATAATGAGAATAACATGATTCATGAGAGTGTGTGTGCTTTGGAAGTCGAAATAATATGGTTTTGCTTAGTCAATGAAATGCCTTTGGGTACATACAGGTTCAATATTGTTTCAAGCTTTTTTCCAGAGGTTATTGACACATTGATAGTCAACATATACATGAAAATGTCTTCATCTTCTGTTTTGCAGAAACTACAAGTCTTATTATCCACAAGCATCATTCGAAATCGTTTCTTTGTATAAGTAATTCTATAAATAAATCTTTACTGAATATTCACAAGCTTTGTGTCTTTTGTACAGTTTCTAAAGTTTGTAAAAGCCATTTTCCAGTCAATATTAGAAGATAATATACTGTGCCATTTTAGACATACTGGCACAGTTTTTGTGTAGCAATCAATTTGTTGTAGTAACATCTCGAACCTTTATATCTACAAGTAAGCTAGAAAGCTGTGCGTTAATAGCAAGATTTTGTTTTTTTACTCACTTGTTTGATGATGTCTCTCCATGCCTTTGGTATGTTTAAAATCATTCTGCTGTATTCAAGAATTGTTCAATCGTGTTCAAAGGCATTGTTTATTCCATAAAATTCATGAAACCATTATCATTACAAATATCATAGATTGAAATTTGTTTTATGTATTTTTAATATTCTCGCCAGATATTAAGAACATCTTTTCCAGACAGTTTTTTATTTGAATGTGTTCAGCAAAGTTTGCACCCAATATAAAATGTTTTGGTAGGTATGCCGCTTTAGGCCTATGTAATGGTTTTTCTTGACATATTTATTCAAATGTGAAAGCTTTTAAAGCATTGATATAGTTTTTAATATCGGTCATTCTAAGTCCTCCCTCCTCATGTTTCCTCACTAAGTTTTTCTCTCTTGATTTTATCCTTTGCCATCCGAAATGAAATTGAAAAATATCTTATTCAGATCATCTATAAACGACTTGGGAGGATGCGAGAGGGCAATAGAAGTATGTACTATAGTAGATAAAGCAAGTGTTTTAATGACAGTAATTTTACCAATAAGAGTTAATCTTGTTGGCCATGTGACAAGAATTCTGTTTAATATTTTCCAGACTTTTCCTTGTGTTGATAACCCAAAAGTTTACTAAATGAGCGTTTAGTTTTATTCCTAACACTTCAAAGTTACCTACATGCCAATCTAGTCTAATATCTGTACAAAGTTTAACATTACTATCTGTCATTGTACCAACTCCTAAAGCCTTGGTCTTATGGAAGGCCATTATGAGACCTGAGATTATATGAAAGGCATTAAGAGTATTAATAACGGCCCTTAAGCTATATCTTCACTTCCATCTAACAAAAGTTGGGTGTCGTCTGCATACTGACCTAGTTTATTTTCTATACCATTGACGAATCATATTACTTAATATTTCTGTCACAAAAAGAAACAAATAAGGTGAGAGAGAATCTCCTTGTCGACAGCCCCTTTCATTTTCAAATGAGAAGAAAGATGCCCATTTTGTATTTACACAAGAGGTGGAGTTTCGAGGAGTATTTTCACCCATGTTATCATCTTGGGTCCAAAGCCAAATTTATTCAATACCTCGTATGACAAAGCTCTTGGATACCGCATCGAAGGCTTTTTTCAAACTCGATTAAAAGCAATAGACCAGGTTTGCTATATATAATTTCGCTTCAAAAGAAACATCATATAATTGCCTTGTATTTTCGCTTATATTTCTTCAGGGATTAAAGCCTGTTTGATTACCGTGTATGAGGAAGTCCAGTGTTTTTTCAGTCTACTAGAAATGCTCATCATTTTATAAAGGCAGTTGAGTAGAGTAAAGGGTCTCCGATTCTTGAAGTAAACATTATCTTTATTTGATTTGGGTATACAAGTTACAACCCCTCTGTTGCATGTAAAGGTTAATGATCCCTTTCAAAAGTTTCTCTTACACATCTGTAAATCCCGAATTTTAGATCAGTCCAGAAGAATCTAAAGAATTCAATAGAAAATCTATCAATGCCAGGACTTTGTTATTTTTCATTGTTTTGACTGCTTTAGTCAATTCCTCTATGCCCTAAGTTAACGTCGAGGCCGTGGGATAGACTAGTGGTTAAAGCGTCCGCTCGTCACACTGAACACTGGGGTTCGATTCCAACCCACTCACTCACTAAGGTAACGTCGAACTGAATGCCTTCAAATATGCATGAACACGAGTAAATTGTTGTTGCCTCGTTCAGCAGTTTTCCAGCTGTAAATAATCGAGTCTGGACTAGACAATCCAGTGATCAACATCATGAGCATCCATGTACGCAATAGAGATATGACGACGTGTTACAACCAAATCAGCGAGCCTCTTACGACAAGTATGGGTTGGTGAAGACCAATTCTAAAGTCTGACGGTTGAAGCGTTAGCACGTCACACCAAAGCCCCGGGGTTTATTCCCCAAATGGGTACAATGTGTGAAACCGCCTGAATGTTCCTGAAACGGAGTAAAACCAACTCTCTGACTCACTCTATGAGAAAAAAACAACACATTTTCACCTTTACAAATGCCCCGGTTCTCTTCGTTACCGTTTATATTTATATATATTTAATATTGTTCTATAATCACATGGGATATAGATAATTCGTATACACTAACAGTGTAACAAGTAGTTCACAGGTTATTCTTTGACTTATACTCACCACTCGAGGAGGTGTAAGTGAGTGTGGTCTTTCAGTAATATTCTGTGTACGCCACTACGCCCCCTGTTGTTGTGGAGTGAGTGACTGAGTGAATTAGTATGGTCTAACGCCGCTTTTAGCAATATCCTTGCAATATCAGGGCGGGAAAGCCAGAAATGGGCTTCACCAGGCCTACCAAAGAAAACTTTCCCACTGTGCAGAAGAACGCAGAAACGCATTAATCGTGGAAATAGCAACATAAACATGATACCTCGTTACTGAAACAGTAAAAACGGCAACGAAAGACTATGAAACTGCAACATTTTTACATCACCGAGCTTTGACCTCTACTGCGCATGCGTTACCTTCCGAGCTTCTTTAAATTTCCGAAGAAATACGAATCGCTTCGCGCAGAAAAAAGTATTGAATATGTCGAAATAATTGCTGTCAATCATTTCATACGAATGGAAAGTAAACCAAAACCAAGTGTGCACACAAGTATGATGATGCCAAATGCCAAATAACACAACAGAAATAATTTAAAAGGAAATGTAACTTTGTCCAAGCTGGAAAATGTCAACATGCGGTGGAGCTTTCTCCCCCATGTGCACATGCGCACATTCTTCGTGTTCTTTTGTCCAGTCCAGCTATTTAAAGTTGCCGTTTTTATTGTTTCAGTAGCGAGGTATTATGCGTTTATGTTGCTATTTCTACGATTTTACCAACCACATTACCAGCACGACAGACCAATAAAACCAACATGCTGATGACATTCACAGCAGGGGATAAACAACCTTGCTGCTATTTTCTGCTCGACTTTCACCCGATCTCTCAGGAACTTCCTGATCAGCGCTTGATAACCTCGGATCCGAAGCCTTACGTCGACCCCCTACCGGACCTGTTGAGACCACGTGACTGGTGTCATGACCCCCGGCACGGAAAGTAGTTAGAATTAAAGGCAGCATTACTATTGTTATGGCATTACTCTTGATTGGTCAGATTTACTTAACAATCCTTTATCTTTCGTCAACGCAGTTTCCGATTTTGTAATAATTCCCATCAATGTTTCTTTCATACCTTTGTGGCTGTATGATGGATAAATAAAACAGGACAATTGACAATAAATCGGGGGTAGTGTTTATGTGTGTAATTCAAGCTTCAGGTCTGTCTGATATCGTTGACTGAAGTCAAATAGACAAGTGTGTTTATACTGATTTACTCACCTGAGCTAGAAATACACAGGAGAAAAAAGGAAATGAAACCGCCCGGTGTCCCCCGCAAAGATATTGCTGGAATATTGCTAAAAGTGACGTAAAACTCAACTACAACATTCGGGGCCCTAGCCAAGATTCCAGAACGTTTTATGGTAGTCATAATCATTAATATTCAAAACAATGGCAGATACAATAGCCTATTTTTACCTATACCAAATGTTATGTGACTTTACAGTGTTTTGTGCGAATATTTCATTAAAGGCCGTTTCGGGAATTCCACAACATATTTTCATTAAAGACACACATACGTGCCTACTGATAACAACGTAGGATTACTGGAGAGTTCTTAACATCAACCGCTTGGATTATTGCACAAAATGCCATTCAATTATGTTGACGACGTTGAAGTTGATGAGAAGTGAGTGTGGTTGCACGCAGCTTTCAGAATTATCCCTGCAATACCATGGCTGGGGACACCAGGAATGGGCTTGACATATTGCACACATCTGTGGAATCAAACCCGGGTCTTCGGCATGACGAGCGACCACTTTCACCACTAAACTACCCAACCGCCTCTGTCGAACATGATAGCATATATTCATGATTGCTAAAGCATAAGTGTTAGTGCCTGTAGAATACAATAGTTTCAGTTAATAATATATTTAGTTTATCATTAAGCACACATCAATGAGTGCAAATCCGATTATGAAACATTCGTTGACTGTTATCGTTGATGACATAGCTAAAGATGAGATAACAAATGCCCGTTGAGATGAGATAACAAATGTAACACTGTGGCTGCGCTCATAAGACTTTAATCAGGAAGTAATGACAGTGTTTGCTTGGTTTGCTTGTATGTCAGCTGTTTGCTGTGAAGTGGGATTTAACTATATCATCAGGATGTTCAGTCGAAGGTAGGATACATTGTGACATTAAGACATTTGTCAATTATGGCAAAAATTCAGCCAGTCTGTGGTTGTGAACATTAGATAATGTATTGGCATGTCTAAAATATACTTGATTCAGTTGAGCAAATTGTATTGCTGTGACAAGTCATTACAGTAATCAGGGCACAGTGACCTCAGGACATTGGACAGACCTGAGTATCGTCCAGTGATCAAGTGCTTGCATCCATGAAGATATGGGAACAACACTAGGCATTTTTCATGTGACGCTGTAAGGAACTATCAACATGCGATGGTTATCGACTGAGCGTCGGAGTACATGTTCAGTAGGCATTTCCTACATCACATAATATCATGTCCATCAAAACAGTGAAAGTTTCAGCATCACCAAAGAAGACAAATAGTGTCGTATCTGTTGAGAAGGTTATGGGATACCGAAGGTGTCATCATAGTTGTATATCTTTTAAAGCCAGACAATATACATGTATATTATGCTAAATGTTATTACAGGATGACATAAGAGGAAAACTGTGTTCTTCCATTTAGAGAAAACCCTTATTGCCATGGCAACAATCTTCGACTGTAGTTTTGATCTCCGTCAGACTTCCGCCTGTTCCTAAACATTCAGTGAAAGGTCATCGCCAGCGAATGCTCTGTCTCTATATTCCACCAAAACAGATTTCATTGGCGTGAAAGGAAAACAGGACTCACGATTATATTAATGAATTATTGAAAACAGGTCTTAAAGGGTAAACATGTCCTGCCCGAACGGTAATATACGCCCCTAACAATATTTGTATTTAGCCTTTAACCAGGATCATGTAGCAACTGTGAAGAACCATTGTGACCTGTCAAGAACCATTTGGACAACCAAGAGAAGGACTGTGATCATCTCAACATCGCTGGCAAAGGTTTATCCATGCAGGAAATAATGTTGGCAAAAGTTCATCGATGTAGAACATCATTGGCAAAGATGTATTCATGAGGAATGGATAAATTTTAATGTCTTTAATGACTATTTTTTGATGACATATTTTATCTCCAACATCGAAATCTTGTGGCTGGATCAAGGTTTCATGTACTGGACAAGTTGGTTAGATTCACGCACAAGTGAGAGAATGTTTCCGTTATGTTTATACCATGATTCTGATTAACTAATAATTAAAATAAATACAAACAGGAAAATGGTATATTTGTGTATAATATGCTTGAAAATGTGACTCATTCAACTATTGTTTGGCCGACTTTGTAATCCAAAAACGTACGTGACATAAAACAGATTGTGACGAAATTGTCCCAATTTGAAACAACATCCCAGGTCCTAGCCTTGTAGTCTTCCTGTCAAGCAAAATTGAAAACAAAACTGACTCTGTATTATGTTTTACCATTTGTACTTGTCGTTTTTGTATAACGGAACAGTATGATTATTAACATGTTGATGTTTTACCATCCTATAGTTCCTGAGAGTGTATCTGGACGAGTGTCTCTAGACGTGATCTGCACCAGGATGTGGGCAAAGCGACCAGGATTCCTTTTTCTGCTGCCATGGGTTTTACTTCAAGGTATGGAAGTATCGTAGCTTCCTCTTTGTGTGGATTGAAATGTCAAAATGATAGTATAGTTACCATAGTTACGTTGCACATACTGTTAAAGCGTCTAAGCGTGTTTAGTCGATGTTTTAGTTGAACTGACCTTTGATTAAATTGATTGAACTATTGTTCATTACATACCTGTATTACAGAACAGTCACGTTGTTGCTGGTATCTAACACAGGTCATTAATATCTATGGATACATAGGAAGACCGAAATCTATGTAGTCTTGCCCAGGTCGAGTTTATGGGACAAACAGTGAATTTTGTCAGGGTTGACATTTTAAGTTGCAATAGTGCAAAGCAATATCTCGTGAATAACTGAGTTTGCGAATTACACCTTCTGTCCTCTACACATATCATTCCATCAACCTGCATAGGAATAAAAGATTAAGTTTCAAAGTCATACACTTCTCAAAGATCCGGAGCTGATGTATGTTAGAGGTACCAGTGGAACCTTTTCAAAACCGGCAAAACGGTCTCCTGGTATTTTAGCCACTTCCTACAGGGTTTATATGTGTAATGTACACGGCTGATATGTCAACAGGGATACATAGATACTTTTTTGTTGTTAGATCTAATCTACCCTGACAAAGTTGTGTATTGAATTAGATTTATTCCGCCAGATGTTTTCGTTCTGCTATGATATTAATCTGATAAGAGGTAAAATATATAATTGAAAAAAAAAGTACATAAAGAAAAATCAAAATCATAATCACGTGTTTGAGCATAGAAAAATCGCCATTCCATGGAGTATGGCTGGTTGGGGTGATTTCTTAGTTCAAATCGAGTCACAACAAGTAGATGAATTAATGCTGTAGTCAACAATTTCAAATTACCAAAATTTCTATGGATGAATTATGATACAGTGCATGTTAAAAAAAGAGCTACGAAAGAGTCCACAGTCTCACGATAAATTTCGCGATTTGCCCTCTTAGTAAGTGGGATAGTACATATATTGCAAACTGTGTTGTCTGAGGAGCGTAGGGGCCAGTTAGTTGTGCCAACGTTGTTAGTGTCAGTCAAATTTGCAATTTCAGTTCAATGTACAGTGGTCTGTGGTCTGAGACACAAGACGCTCTAACCACTACACCACGGAGGCGGTCCCAAATCTCTGAACCAAAACTATGGCCGATAAAGCCCCACTTTATTCTACATATATAATTTGAAATGTCGCTTTCCGGCTATAAACCAACAGGACAATGAGCATCACGGTGCAGCTAGTGACAAGTGAGTGAGTGAGTGAATCAGTCAGTGGACATTTCAGTCAGCAACACAATGCGTGTAACTATTCTTTGAATGAAGTATGTTACGGAACTGCAAAGAAGATAGTTATGGTCTTCTGAATCTATCCATTCTGAGTTTTCATCAACTGGGATAAAAATATCTGGTTTTATATACCGCGTCGCCTATTTCACATACACCTAGGTACCCATGTGCCATATGGATATCTCATATTAGCTACCAATGCCCGTAAAGTCCCTCTTTAAGACAACCGTCCAAAATCTTTAGCGTCAATCGGTTTTGTATTTTCAGTTCCATATACAGTTGTCTGTGGCCTGAGACACAAGACTGCCTGTTACAACTTCGCCCTGATGGTCGACCCCCAGTGTGCCGCCACAGAGATGCTTCTCCCCACCATGTTTACACTCGGGGTGTCCTCTGACGTTACGTGTCACAGGGAAATAACTTCAAGTAATTTAAGAAATAAAAGGAATAGACGAAATCAGACGTTGTTGTCAACAGCGTGAGAATGATACCGTGACTGAGTACTGCCTTCCTGCCACGAAGAACCAACTGAGAGATCACTACTACCTGGACTTTGTGGACATCTGCACGGCCTCTACAAGATGTCAGCTGTCTTCATATGGTGGTTTGGTGTCACATACTAGTGGTGAAGACTACGTGACGTTCACCTACCACTGTGTACACAGTGAGTCGTTTTTATTAGTGTTTAAGTCACTTAACACAGACAGAGAATAGGAGAACGCTTAGCCTAATGCCTGTCTTCAACTGTATCCATGGTTTCTATCTCTGGTGCTTTGGCAACTTATTTAGCTATGACATAAATGTGATCAAATGTGAAGAAATCACCGTGCATAATTCAATTACGTTAAGTAAATTCTAAAATGTTACGACGTTTGCTATCAACTGTCTTGTCCTTATTATGATAAGAGTATTGCTGAAACGTTGAAGACTCCGACGGCGACAATGTGAACGTTGTCCAACGTATGAGTGTTATCTGGGAACCATGTTACAATAAGCACTGTATTGAAACCAATGTTGGTCCTGATCCCTGGTTTGGTAGCATCGCTGCCGTCCATGAATTTCACTAAAGTAAAATATGTCTGTGATCTGTACCATGTCTTTGTACTGACTAGGACAGACGTTTCCGGATTAATTTTAAGTTTTTCTATAACTCTACAACTCTATGAGCTAGTTTTAGTAAGGTGGTGAGCGGTTATGACATGAATCATTCCTAGCTTAAATTGTGATAACACGAATTTAATAAAATACTAATCAAATCTCACCCGCTCTGTTGTTTTCAATCAGGGCCGTAGGTAGCCAGGGGAAATCCACACCTCAATTAATGACGCAAAGATTGTGGGCAGTCCATCTGACAGATGATCGGTACCCGAATGACGCACATGATTACATATATGCTTACAGCAACCATAATGAGTAAAATAAGGAATCCAGGGTTGTGACATAGACAATCGGAACCCTATAAACTTGAGGTATATTGTGCAGTATCTGATTATAAATAAAGACTTAATTAGAAAAGGATTGCATTCAATCCATATGTCTCCAAAATGTTCAACAAACCTGAAGATATATCATGTATATGATGTGAACTTCACGTACAATTTCTGGACTGTTAACTGAATTTAATAATGCAACTATTGTGTATTAATACTTAAACTGAACAAAACAGATGTTTTGCATATATACAGATATGTCTAAACATATTTATACAGTTTAGTTCAGAACATTATGTACAGATGCTGCAATTTTGAACAAAGAAACTTTTTTTTTAACAACATGACAAACTTTGGTCAAACGTAGCAGGAAAAAATAATATTATATAAAACATTGGCGATTACATAAATGGAGTCATTTTACTTTCACAAAGCAGGAAATTGCATCTAAGAGCAGTTAATTTACAAAAAACCTCCCGGGTGAGCATCCCGGATCCCCCTAGATCCTCGGCTGCTTCGCGGCCTCGACCATAGACAGTGCCCCCAAAAATAAGAAAGGTTTACTACGGCCCTGTTTCAATAAATATTGATAGCGGTAACTGGAACGTAAAACTGCACAGCTTTGATGACTTGGTCTTCCTATTTTCTTCTCCTTTTCAGAGGACACAGTGCTGCACATCAAGCACGACTCTACACACACAGGACAGGAGGTGTACCTGTACAACGACCAGTATGACGGGATAGCTAAAGCCAACTGTATAGCATACTCTCATGAGTGTGACTCTCATGTCATTATACAACTTGCTGCAACACGAGTTGTGTCCCCTGTCTGTCTTGTGAACTTCACTGATGGAGACGTCTGTCCAGGTGGACTGTAAGAATCCACCTGCATCCAGCAACTGTTCCAGTACAATGTTTGAGAGCAAGTCCAACTATGTTAACATGTCGATATTCATGACAGTCGACCCTGGACTTCAAGAAAAGGAATTCCTGTGGATCCGAGGGAAAGGTAATGATCAAATTTAAGTTAAACACTTCTACTACTTTTAAGATATGCACTAAAATGTCAAAATGTTAATTATATTTTTCTTAAATAATGCAAAATATGTTTGTCCAGCAATTCATAAAATTCAAATGTAAGATAAAGGCTTTTTACTGTTCGTAATTTATGCTGTAAAAATTTCAAAATATTACTGATATTTTTCCGAAATAACGCAAAATATATTTGTCGAACACTTAATGAATAATGTCCATGAATAATTACCGCTTCTGAAGCTGGTGAAATATGCAAATGCAATAATATGGGTTGATTTTCAGGTATGTTTTTATTGTCTTATAATTCAGATCTTCATGATGTATTTAAACTCAAATTACCCAAACCGGCTTTCAATCACATCGCATTCATCAAAATTGTTCATTGAAGCAAAGATGATTTAACTCGATTGTATGCTAAGTTATCAACGACTACACAATGCCATTTAGAATGTGGTCAAACGTAACATACGTTATATTTGGATTACACTTTCTTCGTAAAGTATAGATTCTAGTACTTTTGTTGGGTTGAGTCCCATCCGGGATTCGAACCCACAAGATCAGAGAGAGGCACATAAACGCCAGCACACAATGGCTGCCGCTCAGCCACCGCGGCTTAATTTATCAACGAAATCCTCATCACAATAAATAATACAGTAAACTACGTTTATATCGAAGTGACGGATATAACGAACTGTTTGTTGGCTCGGCCCACTTCTTTGTATATTTTAGTCGAACTGCGAATTGAGGACAAAGGTTATTTTACACTTGTCAATATCTACTTGTGCACATACGTTCATGTTTACAGCGCGAGAACTTACTATTAAACATGATCTCAGAGATACTCTGAATGTCATTGACACAAGATAATTAATTTGTAGCGGATACAGGTAAGAATATCACCGTTGTGTGTGGAGCCAACATCCTTTTCAGATGTATCACTGAACTGCCCCACGTCTACATCAACTACTAATCCTAGTACTACTACTACTGCAACTCCTCCTCCTACCACTACGAATGCTGCTACTCCTCCTACTACTACAACAACATACTGCTGCTGCTACTCCTACTGTTACTGCTGCTGCTTCTACTACTGCTACTACTACGAAACCAGCCATTGCGTCTGCTGGTGTTTCCTCTCCAACAAGAAGATTACAGTAACATCATCAGCTACTACTGCACAGAACCTACCATCATCAGATACAACATCAGTCAAGGACAACGTCTCACAGTTCAAACTCTCCTCCAACACGACAGCAGAGTGGATTTACACAGCCAACATCTTTAACATATGGTAATGTAACATCTGTATAAAACTGAACTCAGCCTATTAAACTGGATGTGATGTCATGAACAATTGAGTAGGTCGTCTTTACTTATTTACAATTTGCGGATATGACGTCAAGTTGCTTAAACCCGTGAAGGTCCGGGTTAGAATGAGCCTTCAGTAACCCATGCTTGTTGTAAGAGGCGACTAACGGGATCGGGTGGTCAGGCTCGCTGACTTGGTTGACACATGTAATCGGTTCCCAATTGCGCAGATCGATGCTCATGTGGTTGATCACTGGATTGTCTGGTCCAGACTCGATTATTTACAGACAGCCGCCATATAGCTGGAATATTGCTGAGTGCGGCGTAAAACTAAACTCACTCACTCACTCAAGTTGCTAAACTATGGACTTATGTAGTGGCGTGGACTGGCCATCATCATGAAGGAAGCAATATTATGCTCAGTGTAATATCCCTGATAAGTTGTCAGATAGTTACATGGTAAACAGAAGATATTCGGGGTCGGGTGAAATATGTATGTGTCATATACGAGTGGCGATATCAACCTGATATTTTCACGTGACTACATTTTTTATGTGTATCAAAATGCTGGACAGAAACCTTTTGTTGAACCATGAAGTAAACGGTAGTAGTATATAACTATTCTGTCACTGCAGTGAAAATATCACTTTTCTCAAGCTACGAAATCTCCGGCTTTCACACTTAAGTAAATAATAAAAACAGTTATATTTCCTTGTACAGGTGAGTCATCAAACACATTACCCATTACACTGGACGTATCTGCTGCTACTCTGTTTGTTGGCCTTGTTTTGGGTTGGATAATGACCAGGTAAATTCTATTTCGTATCTCTGAAAATACATTTAACACACACTATATATAAGTCCTTTCTGTGCATAAATAGCATTCAAACATTGTAAACACATTTGCATTACGATCAATTGTGTGTATATCTTTCACCTGACAAATCTTGTAATTTGAGTTCAGAATGAATGAATATTGTTTTACTCCACCTGTAGAAATATCCCAGCGATACCACGAATAACTGGCTATACACATTGTACCCATCAGGAGAATCGAACCTGTTGTTGTTTTGGCGAGTGAGCGCTTCTACCACTACGTTACCCCACACAAATTAGATCAACTGAAACCTATGACACATTGTATAAATATGTCTCTGGTGGAAACCTTTCAGGTGTTACTATCAACGGAAGACAAGGAAGAATGGTGCAGATGTTTACACCACAACCTCCACAATGAAGGAAGAACACACGTACAGTACAGTTCAACCAAGCAGCACAGCGACATATGCTAACACCTCTTATGAATATTACAATCAATAACAAAATAGCCTATAATAAAGTCATACTCCCGTTCATTTTGTTTTGTGTTTACGTTTCTGAAGAACTAGACATGTGGAGGACATTTCCAAATATGACTGTGGAAGGGGTTTTGTCGCTATTATTGAGTATGACACAATATTGGTAACTTCTTTATGTTAAATAAACGAATATATTTTAAGGTTACTAGAGAAGAAGCTAGCCTGTCGTCCTAGCTGGCAGATAATGATATACATTGGATATAATCATGACTGACTGACTGACTGACTGAGTTTGGTTTTACGCCGCTTTTAGAAATATTCCAGCAACATCACGGCGGGGACACCAGAAATGGGCTTCACACATTGTACCCATGTGGGGATTCACCCGGGTCTTGAGCCAACGCTTTAACCATTAGGCTACCCCAGCATGATCATGATGTCTAATAATAATGTTATTTACACCATGAGGTGATCAGGCATATGTGTTATCACAGGTGTCGTGCGCATTGTCCTACCAAGGCCTAATGCTGCCATTTCTGTAGCATAAAATATTTCTGGCTGCTTCAGTAATTTCCTCCTTGCTCTGATTGTTT